CACTGGCCAGCACAGCCCAAAGTGGTAGCGCTAATGGAATATACGTTTCTCTTTCCTGTGAGAAGAGTCACGTAGGAGTGTAATAAATGAAGTGATGAGAAGAGAGGAATTGGGGAACTGGATTTCTTGAGCCAAACCATTGGAGTGAAACAAGTTAGGAGATCTAGGAGAAGTGGGGGAAGGCAGTAATGACGTTCAAAATCTCTCTGCAGCATTCCTGACAGATATTAGAAAAGAAATATCCATCTTTTGCCATCAGCCGTGTTTCTGTACCTTAGTGAGGGTTTACCTAAAGGAATAAATGATCTGAAGAATTTCCTGGCAGAATAAAAGAGAAAGAGAGAGGAAGGTGGGGGAGAGAGAGAGAGAGGGGAGAGAGGGAGGGGGAGAGAGAGAAAGAGGAGAGAGAGGGGGAAAGGAGAGAGGAAGGGAGGGCAGAAGGAGGAAGGGACAAGGAGGGGGAGAGAGGAAGGAAATCCTTGTTTCAGTCCTCAGCTGCCTGCTGTCTTCAGCGTTAGCTTCCCTTTGGACCTGCAGTCGGTGGAGGAAACGTTTGCCTCTGTAATTTATATACAATTTCTATATGATTTTCAAATTTTAGAGACTATATTGAGTTGTAGTTCATGGCCACTCCAAGTTCTGACTTTTTCTTTCAAAATCTTTTGTTCCGTAAATATTGAGTCCCTTCGGAGGGCTAGAGAGGCAACAGAGTAAGCACGTTCTCTGCTTTTGTGTTTATGTTCTGGTGGCAGGGAGACAGGTAGAGCGAGAACAGATGCTGACACTGGAAGTAGCTGGGGGAGAAGTGCTGTGTTATTTGGAGGATGAGGGAGTCAAAGCCTTGAAGGAGGGAGCAATCCAACTGGACCTCTGAGAGGAGAAGCCTCCAAGGAAAAGGAGCCGCCAGTGCAAAGGGCCTGTGGCAGGAGAATGTTGGTGTTGGAGACACAGCAATGAGGCTGTGAAGCAGGAGTGGTGGGGGGCTGGACAAATGAGGAAGGGAGGGAGTCAGAGAAGGAGCAATAGCCCAGATCACAAAGTGATTCTCAACCCCAGACTCACAGTAAAATCTCTTTTGGAACCTTAAAATTATGCTGATGTCTCCTTCATCCCCCAAAATTGAGTCACTGGAGCCTCATTATTTCTTAAAAGCTTCCTTGGAGCAAAAACTATGAACAGGCAACTAATAAAAGAGAGTATTCCACAAGTTAAACATAAACCATTCCCAAAACTATTAGTAGTTAGAAAAAAAAAACAAATTAAAACAATTATATAAATACCACTTTATGTCTCATAAATTGGCACAAATTAGGAAACGTCGATAATGTGAAGTGTTGGTCCCATGGACTTCAAGGGATCCCTTTGCCCGGCTGGTTGAAGAATAGACCAGGACAGTCCTGCAGGAAAGCACTGTAGTACTCAGATTAGCTGTCAGCATGTCATCATCTTCATTTTTGAGTTTCTTTTTAGAGCAATTCTAACTATTTTTATGGATTGATACTTCACAGCTTTATTCTTTCTTAGAGAGTTTCCAAAGAACAAAGACTCATTCTATCTCACAATCCATACGGGTCATTGGACCCTTTTATACGTCTAAGATACATTATGAGATGTTAGTGATCCTATTTTTCCTTTGTCTTGAACCATTTTATTATTCTAGGTTTTATTTCATCATTACTCATCAGTTATGCCCAGTGATGCTAAAAACAAAGATTAATATAATAAAGTGGAAAATGATGGCATCACCTGGAAGGATGACATAATAGTGAAAATGTCACTGTTGCATCATCCTTCAGTTTTCTAATTGTGTTGCCCAAGGGATTACATCATCTTCCAAGAAGGTATAAAAGAAGGCTGGACACACTATATTTGGAATCTTCTTTGAACATTTATTGAACACAGTTGAAAATTCAGAAGTTTTCACTTTCTGGCCATTATGGCAAAGAAAGGAAAATTGAACGTGGGAAACATTTTGCTGTTGTTAAATGTATCAGAAGATGAATGCAACAGAGACCAGCATTCTAGTCTAGATTCTAAAGATGGTGATGAAATTGATCATCTAAGCAAAATGCCAGGCTGTGAGTCTTCAGAGGCCAATATCCTAGATGAAATCTTTCCAATTCAACAAAGAATGAGAGAACAATATGTTTCTATAGACAGAGGAGATAACAGTATTCTTGTCTGTTAGTCAGTACGAAGAAATTCAACATGCAGCATTTGACAAGTACCTGAATTGTCCTAGGTTCTTGTGTTCTTCCATATCCAAAATATAATTGACGTGATTCCTAAGTAGAGAAATGATGAAAGCAGGTGTTTAGACAAGGGTTATTGGAAGGAAATATGTGATGTGGAAATAAAAAGAAATCATTGGATTGATGATTCTAATAGGTGTTGATAAACCTAAAAATGAAACTGTTTTCCATTTGTGGAGCAAAGAAAATAGCTGTGCTCTCATCAACAAAATTATGAGCTGTCAAAGTTTTCAAAAATTTCTTCAGGTATTGTGCTTTAATGATGCAAGAGCAGAAAAGAAAAATGAGAAGTAAGGATAAGATAGAACCTGTTAGAGAGGTGTTCAAAATGTTGAATCAGTTTTTACGAAATGGATACGTTTCAGGTTCACCCACGACAGCTGACAAGCAGTTAATTGCATTCATAGGACCTTCCAAAATGAAGAAAATAGGGAATAAAATTTTGAGTTAAGATTAGATTCTTCACTTTGCAAGGGATTGTTTTGTATTGAGGGTTAACATGAGCCTTTTTTATAATAATGTACGAGAATTGGAGATTCACAATTTGAGTGACCTTTCTCTAAAACGGGATCCTTACTATGATGAGGGCAACGTTAAGCGCCTGTGTTGCTCTGCAGACAACCGCGTGGGTAACTGCTACCTGAAGTTCGGTCCTCGGGGAGACGGGAGCCTTTCCTGCAACACGGAGATCGGAGTGGGCGTCAGTCGCTCCTCCTGCTGCTGCTCTCTTGGGAAGGCCTGGGGGAACCCCTGCGAGACATGCCCCCCTGTCAACAGCAGTGAGTATGGAGCTGAGGCAGAGGAAGGGAACAAACTCTGGTAGCTGAAGATGAGCTGTCAATTTATTCTTCTGTTGAGGACAGGAGAAACAAGAGGGCCAACATTTTGAATTTGGACTACTTTCCCTGATTATGCAGAAACAGGACAAGCGTGGTTTACAGAAGAGGAATTTGAATTCTTCTCTTCTTACTGTGTTTCATGATATGATAAAAAAGAAAATAATAATTTTAACCACAACCCAATAGGAATGGTGACAATATCAATTCTCCATGGTCTCACAAATAAACGAGGCCGTTCCTAGTTCTTCTCAGAGGTTGTTTTATTGAAATTCCCATTCATAGCTGTGTTGTATTCCTGAAGTCAATCATGTTATGCCCAAAGTTGAAACATATGTTCTGATACAGACATAGATGAAACTTTTGAATTGTCATGTCTTTTAATTTTTATTTACTAGCCAAAACAGTTGTGATATAAATTGTCTATGAGGGAGTTTTTCCTTTAATTAAAAACAAATGGTTTTTGTTACTCTGTCTATATAACTTATGAAGCAATGATCTTATTTCAAATAAAGTGTAATATACTTTTAAATGTATTTGAAAAGGCACTAGAGAAAATGTAGATGTATCCCTTAGGATGTGTGTTTTGAGCCTGGTGTTAGCTGCATGCTTGTTCATTGTCTCAAAGACTTGGACGCAGGTGTCAAAACTCTTCTTTTTCCATTGTTTTGTAGCTGAATATTACACCTTGTGTCCTGGAGGTGAGGGCTTCAGACCTAACCCTATCACAATCATCTTAGAAGGTGAGTGCAGCTCTCATTGTCACCCTGATTTAAACAAGGTAAAGAATTGACTTTAGAGAAATGCTGGTAGAAAAGCGTATGGAACAATTTCCACAAGATGATTTTGCAAAATTGCAGATGGACAGTCCATCACCAGGATGCGAAGTAACCACTTGTAAGTTGGAAAGAGAGGGCCCATTCCAGTGATGTGATGTCTGATTGTTCTGCATAGAAACCCTCTTCACCCTTATCCCCCAATTATAATTACCTCCAACTTGTTTTAATCACTCTTCTCAGATTGTAGCAAAGTTCCATAGCAAAGCCAGGAAAATTCATGATCAGAATAAACCCACCGTCTAGATGTGCATTCATGGGGGTGTATGGATGCTGGTGGGTCCTCCAGGACCCTGTGTTTGAAAGCTTTCAGGGTAACTCTTGCCTTTTGTGATGGCTGTCTTTGTAAGTGAGCCGTCTCTTCTTGTGCAGACATAGATGAATGCCAGGAGTTACCAGGCCTCTGCCAGGGGGGAAACTGCATCAACACTTTTGGGAGCTTCCAGTGCGAGTGCCCCCAGGGTTACTACCTCAGCGAGGAAACACGGATCTGCGAAGGTGAGGCGAATTCATACCTAAATAACGAATAGCACAGTTTCAAACAAAATTCCTGCGCAGGCCTGTGGAGAAGGCTCCAACCTCACACTCTGTCAGATGATCACATAACAACACTGCTAGGTACATTAACTTACAGCCCATTTGCTAGAATTTATGATTCTTTTTCTCCAAATACATGGGTTGATTAAATATAAATGGGAAAAGCTGGAGTAGTGTGAAAACATTCAATATAAGTTAATAGTTCCAGTATTGATAAGGATTATAGTTTACATAGGGAAAATAGGTAAGCTTGAATATAACTAGAAAGTTAATATTTTTCAGTAATTTTTAAATGTTGGTCTGCATGTTGGACCACTATAAAAAAATTCAAAGGTTATGCAGATGACTTTCTTGCGTCCATCCCTCCACTTACCACATGGCACTGGAGTCATCTTTTTAGGGGGGCCTGTCACCCTGCTAGACTGGGCGCTTCTTCCATATGGACTTCAAGGTCCATAGCTTATTCCTCTTTACAGCTACAAGTCCTGCCTTACAGTAAATCTTCATAATTATTTATGGAATGAATGAAGGCTTCTCAATAATGAACATTCAACATGTAAACATTTCCATTATAACCTTTCTCTTGCAATGTGAGGGATAAATGCATCTGGAAGAAATACCATTTAATAAAGAGAACAACCAGCAGCTACATTGCTTTTAGAATCTCGTAATGAGAACTAATTTGAAAGGAACTATGAACATAAAGACTGTCCTAATTGCATCCCGTGTAAAGTTAGCACTAAAATTCCGTTTCAGTGACATAAGAGGCGAGTAGGCTGTAAAGCAATTCCATTTGAAGAATATGAAATTTCAATTAAAAAAATATAAGTGCCATTTAAGTTATTTGTTGCCACCTTGGAATCATTTCTTTTGGTCACTTTTATTTTTGAATGTTGGATTTTTTTTTTTTTCTTTTAAAGAAAGACACACTTTGTGTCATATAAATGCACGTTTTGGAGCATTTCTATGTAATTGCTTTAAATTCTGAATGTCATGACAATATGGGTTTCGGGAATCATCTTACACTTTGTTCAGTCATTTAAATAACAAATTCATGGGGAAAATATCTTAATTGGTGGATATTCTTGTCTGTTCTAGACATTGATGAGTGTTTTTCACATCCTGGTGTGTGTGGGCCTGGGACCTGCTACAACACCCTAGGAAATTATACCTGCATTTGCCCACCTGAATACATGCAGGTCAATGGAGGCCACAACTGTATGGGTAGGTGAAGGGTTCTCAGGTTAATAAGGTCACACCTATGGGCTTCCTACGGAAGGCATTTGTGTCTCAGATTTATTACTTATAAAGTTTGGAAATTAAGTCTTTATGAATGTTGAAGTATTTCAAAGTCTTATAATCTCTGGTTCAGTAATTATAAATGCTGTATAATTACATTTTTGTTGTTGTTACCCCTTAATCGAGTTATAACTTAGGTAGGTCAAGGGAATATAATGCAGCACTGAGAATATAGTCAATAATGTCATCATAACTTTGTCTCATGACAGATGGTCACTAGAGATAATGAGGTGATCACAGTCTAAGGTATATAAATATAGAATCACTACATTGTACCACTGAAACTAATATAATATTGTATGTCAACTATACTTTAATTTTTGAAAAAGAAATTATATAGTTGCATTTTATTATTTTGAGTTCATATATTTATTATATATTATTATTAATATGAGGCCTTTTTGATCTCAGGTGTACAAAACAACATTGCGATTAGACATTTATATACCTCATAGAATGACAACCCCAATAAATCTACCCACCTGACACTGTACATAGTTATTACAATATTATTGACAATATTCCCTATGCTGTACTTTATATCCCCGTGACTATTTTTTGTAATTGACTTTCAGTATTATTTTATATTAGTTTCAGCCATACAGTGTATTGGTTAGACATTTATGTAGTTGATGAAGTGATCCTCCTAATAAGTTTTTACAGTATTATTGACCATATTCCCCATACTGTATTTCACATTGCAGTGACTATTTTGTAACTACTAATTTGTACTTCTTAATCCCTTCACCTTTCTCACCCAACCCCCAACCCCCTCCTATCTAGTAACCATCAGTTTGTTCTCTGTATCTGTGAGTCTGTTTCTGTTTTGTTTGTTCATATATTTTGTTCTTTAGATTCCACATATAAGTGAGATCATATGGTATTTGTCTTTCTTAGTTTGACTTATTCCACTTAGCATAATACCCTCTAGGTATATATAGTTACATTTTAAAAGCATGAGCCTGAGGTAGGAAATTTAATCAAATTACATATTCTTAAATAATTTTAATTTTCCATCCATATACATTATTTTGTAAATGAGAACATTTCAAATTAATATGTACTGCTTTTTTGAAAAAAAAATGCCTTTGAGTAGAGGAACAAGTATCTATTAACTTTGTTTCCTAAGAAAATTATAAATGAAATTTCTTACTTAAAAACAGGAGAGACATTAATCTTAAAATGATTTATATTTAACTTAAAGCATTATTTCAAGATACATCCAAATGCCCAAGAAATTTTTCAGAGCTGTGTTCATGGAGAAAGTTTGGTGTCTTCAGGTGTGGAGTCTTCATTATTAGCTGCTTACTGATATGATTGGTTGGCTTACTTGTTTTTCTACATGTAGACATGAGAAAAAGCTTTTGTTACCGAAGCTATAATGGAACCACTTGTGAGAATGAATTGCCTTTTAATGTGACAAAGAGGATGTGCTGCTGCACATACAATGTGGGCAAAGCTTGGAACAAGCCGTGTGAACCATGCCCAACGCCAGGAACAGGTAAGCACACCACTCCTGAAGGCTGAGGCAGTCACACATGTACTGTGTTTCACCAAAAATAAGACCTAACTAGAAAATAATCCCTAGCATGATTTTTCAGGATGCTCATAATATAAGCCCTACCCCAAACATAAGTGCACTTAAGATTATCAGCCAAACATGCTGTTTGAATAAATGTAGATTTTTGTACATGAATAAATGAATAAGTGTAGATTGTTGGAGCAAAAATTAATGTAAGACCTGGTCTTATTTTCGGGAAAACATGGTATGTGACTCTAAGGAAAAGCAAACGTGTATGAAAACCAGATATGCTCAGTACTGAAACCCACGTAACCCTCTTTGGGATTCAAACACTAATTTCTGAAGTATCTATTGAATAGGAGTCTGGATCCTGAAAAGAAGCCCCATTGCCAAAGAGCTACAGTTTATAGCACTAGTCCATTGAAATTCATTCTCTTAAGCCATGCTGGCTAATTATTCATTTATTCATTGAACAAATATTTATTGAGCAACTACTGTGTGTCGTGCTACACTTGGAAGGTGTAATATTGTGATGAAACAAAAATGTGTGGTAATTTAAAGTCCATCAAGTTCAGTAAGTATTTGTTTTTAGTTCAGTCTTTAAAAATATGCAAAAATAGATGTGATAATCAAACTTTACATAAAATCAGCTTTTGTCAAAGTGGCATGCATTTTTTTCCCTTCAAACTTAACTGAAAATTTTAGGCAGAAAATAAAACTTGTCTTTACATGGTAATATATTTCTCACAAACACAGATTCTTTTGAAAGAAAAACTGAAAAATAATAGACAAGAGCAAAAAAAGTCTTAAAATTGTTGCCCACTCAGGTTCTTTTATGACCTGGATAGCAGTATTAAACTACTTTTAATAGTTTTAGATGCTAAGAGTTGAACCAGTAGGACAAAGAAGAAACAATGATTATTATGCATTTGTTACCAAATATTGCATAGGTGCATATGCATTAAAATGTTTCATTTAATGTGATAAAATGAAATGAAGGAGAGACTTGATGAAAGTGACACACGGAGCCTTTCCCAGTGGCTCAAATTCAGTGGGCAAATGGATTTTCTTAGCCCTAACTTGCCATAGGTGTGTTCTGAAAAATCAAATACAAACAATTTTACAATTTTCTAATTTAAAAATTCCATCAGTTAGAAATTGAAAATCGCTCATTTGGGGAATGAAATATCACTTTTTTTTTTAAAGATTTTTATTGGGGAATTGGGGGAAGGGGAACAGACAAGTTGCTGTCCTTTTGTTCTTCAGTCTAGTTGTGGAGGACGTTGCTTCACTGGCCCAAGTTGGCACCATCATTGCGCTCTTCCCGGGCGAGGCACATCAGTAGCCGGCTTCTGGACAGCCGCTCACTGCAGCTGCTGGCCGCTCACACTGGCTGCTGGCTACACACGGTAGCCCATGGCAACCCACTGCCACAGGGGCTGCAGCCTAGCTGTCGCCGGCGACTCACGGCAGCCCAGCTCCAGGTTGAGCTGTTGTTCAGCATCTTAGCTGTGGAGGGCAGTGTCACTGGCCCTCATATGTGGGATCCGAACCGGGGCCCTCTGGTGTCCCAAGCCAGCTCTTAACCATCGCGCCACTCAGCCGGCCCGAAATATCACTTTTTTTGTAACAGGAGGTCAAGGGCTTAGGTTTGAGAGACAGGTCTATTTTTAAGTTGAAGCTCTGCCACTTAGTGTCTGACCTCGTGTAGATTATTTATTCTTTCTGAAACTGATCCCTCATATATTAAATAGGGACAATAAATAATGACCGTAACTAAACTGTATGGTTACAGTGACTATTAAATGAGATGGTAGATATAAATTACAGTTCGCACATTGCCAGGCAATTTGAAACCATTAAATTAGGCATCTGTTATGTACCTCTCTGTGTGCTCTGGACGCTTAGCGAATATTGTGGGTAAATATGCAAAGTCCCACCGGACAGCACTTGGAGTATAGTCTGTAGTATGTGTTTTACCTAATACTGTTTTCAAGCGCTTTACTCACTTGTGTAACAGTGGGCATCAGAAGCAATCTACTTCTTAAAAATTAGAATTCTTTTGAACTTCTATTAGTTTGGTGAATTATATGTACTAGTAACTCTTAGTCTCCATTTTACTCTACTCCATAATGCATTGTTTTTGATGCCTCAAATTTCACTTTTTTTTTAAAGATTTTATTGGGGAATTGGGGGGAGGGGAATAGCATTGGGGGAGGAGAATAGCGTTGGGGAATCAGAGAAAGGGAATAGACAAGTTGCTATCCTTTTGTTCTTCAGTCTAGTTGTGGAGGATGTCACTTCACTGGCCCATGTTGGTATTATCATTGTGCTCTTCCCAGGTGAAGCAGTCGCTCACTGGCCATTGGACGGCCGCTCACGGCAGCTCACACCAGTTTCTGGCCACCCATGCCAGCTGCCAGCCACTCACGGTAGCTCACTGCCGCCCCACTGCAGCCTACGCCGTTGCCGGCGACTCACAGCAGTCCAGCTCCAGGTCGAGCTGTTGTTCACCATCTTAGCTGTAGAGGGCGCAGCATCACTGGCCCTCATGTGGGATCTGAACCCAGGTCTGCTGCTCAGAGCAGGTGTCCCAAGCCCAACTCTTAACCAGCATGCCACTCAGCTGGACCTCAAATTTCACATTTTAACAAATAGACATTTATGTTTTAAAAAAAGAAAATTTATGTTGCATTCATTATTTATTATTAACCTATTTGATCACTACAAAATTATCTTTTTATGCCTATGCCTTTGTGCTTTTCATAATCCCGTTTTAAGTTTGTACTCTGCTTCACTGGCTTTTCAATCTACATAAATTGGATCATTTTTAAAGCTCTGAGTATCAAAAGAAAAAAAGAACTAATGTGCCTAAAGGAGATACTTTGAATCTTGCAATGATTTATTTATCTTCTAATATCAGAGCAGTAAAAAGTTAATGATAATAATAGTAAAAAATGCTTAGGCTACTTCTTGTATCTAGGAGCTGGTATTGTTGTCAAATAAATATAATTGAAATTAAAATGTCTGGTTGTGAATAATACAAAATATATTTGTCAGTAAAAGTGGTACTATGTAAAATGTTACTTTGAAAGAGTTTGAGAATTTTAAGAGTACATTTACTCTGTTTTTATTTTAAAGCTGACTTTAAAACCATATGTGGAAATATTCCCGGATTCACCTTTGACATTCACACAGGAAAAGCTGTTGGTGAGTTTTTCCAGATTATGTTTAATACACATATGTAGCATTTTGTAAAAATCTATGCAGTGTTTTTAAAGTTTGAAGTACCATGAAATATCATGATCTGGATTCTGACCTAATACAGTTAAACAAAAAAGAGATAATGTGTTTACAGACTAACCAAGTGTTTTAATGTGTTATTCTATCAACATAGTCTGGTGATTGCGTTATGACAGTTATGTGACATCTCAAGATTTCATAAATATCAAGCTAATACTATAGTTTTTCTTTTCATGAATATTGTATTATATGACTCTAAATAATCCCCCTTATTTTAACCTTTAGTTGCTATTTTCATAATTGTTTAAGTTTGGGATATATTTTTACAGTATCCCTTTCTATTAATCTACTTAGGAATTTGCAAGATTATTAGTTATATAAATTACTTCCTTCTAAGTGTACTTTCTGTTGCTCATTCTATTTCTCTTCCTGAAAGATTAAATAAGTAATATAATTTTAAGTCTCCATTATCAATTCATATGTAACAAATACATAAAATTAAGAAAACATAGCGTTCTTCATCAGGTGAGTAGCAGCAGTTTCTTCTGACCAGTAACTTGAAGAAGGGGCTTGATTCCCTAGGAAGTTCATTTGCTACACTGACACTAAAATAACTTGGGTATATTTGATCAGCTACTTAAATTTTTCCATCTCTGTTTGAAGGAAGTACTCTATTTTATGGTCCATATGCTTTCATGAACCACAAAATCGTTCATACCAGTATAGAACTGATTTTTGTGACACTGAGTGTGTGTTCTCATTCCAGTGTACGCATAGCATTGTTCAAGGTTTTATGGTAAATACGTTAAGCAGAACCACATATATTTAACCAAGTCTATTCAATTTCAGACATTGATGAATGTAAAGAGATTCCAGGCATTTGCGCAAATGGGGTGTGCATCAACCAGATTGGCAGTTTCCGCTGTGAATGCCCAACAGGATTCAGTTACAATGACTTGCTCCTGGTCTGTGAAGGTAATCGAATGATGTATATGACCTTCATCCCAAAAAGTTCGGTGGACAAAAGTGATTTTTAGAAAGTTGTCTGACTTTTACTGTTTCATCCTCAGTATTTCAGAATCAATTGCTATAATGGCTAAGTGAATATAATGCTGATACAATAATGAAAATTTCAAACAGAATTGTTGCTCTTTCAGATATTGACGAGTGCAGCAATGGCGATAACCTCTGCCAGCGAAATGCAGACTGCATCAACAGTCCCGGCAGTTACCGCTGCGAGTGTGCTGCAGGCTTCAAACTCTCACCTAACGGCGCCTGTGTTGGTAAGAAGGAGACTGACTCATTCTTTGGCCCTGAGCACAACATTCTTTATATTGCCTGCACTAAAAAATGGTCCATGCTCTTCTACCAAAAGAATTACTTTCAAAGGTAGTTTTGAAAAGATTTTCTGAGTAAATCTATTCATTCATATTGAACCTACTTCCCCGTGCATTTTAGATGACTTTGTTCAGGAAAGAGGTCTCTCCAATGGATTTTTAGATTATTTTGTTGGGATAAGAGGTCTCTCCAATGGATTTTCCTAGGATTGGACCTAAAGTAAAATAGTATCCTCGAGATACCAATCAACAGAAAAATTGCATGATTTTAAAAGAGAGACGCTTAGGTACTTTAAAGCGTGGCTTTATTTTGATTCAGCTATTGTTATGGTTCATTTTCAACTTCTCTGTAATAATTAATAGCAGGTTATAGAAACGTGCCTGTGAAAAAATGAAGGAATCTTAATAAAAATCAGATATGGGTAACATGTGTTTTATTTTTTGTTTTAGATCGCAACGAATGTTTAGAAATTCCTAATGTTTGCAGTCATGGCTTGTGTGTTGATTTGCAAGGAAGTTACCAGTGCATCTGCCACAATGGCTTCAAGGCTTCTCAAGACCAGACGATGTGCATGGGTAAGAGAGGACATGGGTTCCAGGGGGGAAGGGCAGGTGAGCGTCCAGAAGAGATCACAGTTCAGTCACTTGCCATGAGGAACTACCATGTCACTGTCACAAACAGTCCCACAAAAATTTAACCAAGTGAAATAGTTTATGGTTTCATTCAATGTAAAATTTGCAAGCAGGGACACACCACAGTGTGTTCGTGTTCCTTTGTTCGGTGTTCACAACCTTTCTCCCAGATAATGTTCAATTCACGTGTTTAACCTGCACTCTGGGACCCTCAGGGTTAAGTGGACGTCACCACAGTACCAGCTGCCCTTTACCCCTCTCTGTTCCCACTCCAGAAAGCCTTTTCGAATGAAAGAGTGCAAGGGAGTAGTAAGAGTGACAGGATTGAAATGAATACACACACACACACACACATGCAAACATATATACAGAGAGTGCCCAAAAAATGTATACACATTTTCAGAAAGGAAAACTATTAAAATTGTAATACTCAATATATATTGATAACAAAAGATGAATGCAAGTCACGTTTGACTTCTGCAATTACAAGAGATGCTCGAAGTGGTTACCATCAGCGTCCAGACATTTCTGATTACAGTGAACTACTGCTTGAGCAACGTTGATCAAAGTGTCCACTTGTATACATTTTTCACCCCTGGTACCTACAGACACTTTTTCCTCAAAATCATTGAATGCATGGGATTTATCTGCTTCTTTTGTGTTTTAACTCTTTTTTTTATTACTATTTTTATTTATTTTAATTTTTTTATTAGTTCCAGGTGTACAAAGCAATGTAATAGACATTTCACTTAAAAACAATTTTTAGAAGCAAATGTAGCAAAGCTCTTTAAAAAGTTCCAGTAGCTAATGTAATGGTTACTTAAGCAATAATAGTATTCAGTAAGTACTTGTTGAGCTGATGATTAATAAAATTTGAAAAGCAGATGGGCTGGACGTCTTGGAACGAAGCAGAACTACTTAAATCTGATGTCAGCCACTGGCTCTACCTCTGCCGAGAGACTCTCCATGCTTTGTACTTGAAGGAGGAAACTCAAATTTAAAACTTGGCTATTTGTAATTAGCATGTTGTCAGTTTAGAAAAAGCTAAAGTTGTGCATCTACTCTTTTGGTATTCAAGATACTATCCTCATGAATGGTGAAGTCAGGTTGCAGGACTGCGGAACTATTTTTACTTTACGGCACAGCCCTACCACAAGGACCACCGGCAGAACATCTGCGTTTATCCATTGCCTCCTCACGGCGCCCCCACGGACTTCTCCCATGGTGGCTGGAAGGATTCTCTGCTTGTGCAGAGGACAAATGAAAGATCTGGCTGTATCTGCGTGGGCTTTCTGAGAATCCTCGCTTATACGTGCTTCTCCTGGCTGTACTCTCTGCGGGAGAGAATACAAATAGCTAAAAAAAAAAATGTGAGATTTATGAATGGTAAATTCATATGGAGAAAATCTGCCCTCAATCCTAACAATGCATATGATAAAAGCCAGCTAGACTCTTTGGTCATACCTATCTTAAACAAAGCTTCCATCCTAAGAACAATACCTTTTTTTGTGTGGTGGAAGGGTTTCAGCAGCCTGGAGCTCACAATCCAGGGAACCTGCTCTCGTATACAAGGATGACTTCTTGAAATATTTTCTTAATTCCATGTTTTCAAAGGCTAATACTATTGAGTTCTAATAGACTTCTTCAGTTTGGATTCCACGGATTCGTAAAACTTAGGAAACTGAAATTTATCTTTGTTGTGCTGATCAAATTAAAATATATACATTTCTGGGGGAGTGTTTATAATGCTTCGTAGAACAAATTACATTAGTGTTTCAAAAGATTGGTTTCCTTACAGTTGACAAGCAAACTCTTCATTAAAGCATCTCCACTAAGGGATTGCTTGCTTAGCCTCGGTCTGAGCGTTTTATGTGCCTGTGAGTCATTCAACAGCACTTTGTCTTGCAATTTTCTAATTTAGAGTTTTCTCTGCCTTATACTTATTTTCCTTAAGCAAATATGGGTTCCTAGGGCTGAATGAGGAACATCTAAGTGAGTCAGTAGTTTAAAAATGTGAATATTTAAATTAATAGGCTATGCTTTTTAAGTTAAAAACTGAATTCCTTTGAGCCAATGTTTCTTTGCAGATGTTGATGAGTGTGAGCGACATCCATGTGGAAATGGAACCTGTAAAAACACTGTTGGATCCTATAACTGTCTCTGCTACCCAGGATTTGAACTCACTCATAATAACGATTGTCTGGGTAAGTACTCCATCTTTTAGTGCTTCTATTTAATTTCCACACAATATACTGAAGCAAAAAAAATAAAATCAAAGAATAAACAAATATTTTTATTATTAAAATTGCAGATGTGTGACAACAGGTGTGTAACATCACTGGCTAATTTCTAGTTAAGTAAAGCCTTAGTATTGGCTTAAATAGCAAAACCATCTGCCACGTTGAGTGCTTCTGTCAGTCAACCAATCGATTCAGGGAAAGGTCATGCAGGTGATAATGAAGGTATTGGGACTTCTTTATGGTTTGGGGTTATTTTGACCCATTACATGGGATCAAAGCTAGACCTGTCACTGTTTCAGTGGTATTACAAGTATTTCATACAATCCATTCTTGATTTGTATTCCAATAGGGACAGCCTCCAACTTAAAACATGCTGTGTGTTGAAAATTCATTTTTGAAGCCAGGGATGCCTTTTCCCACAGAAACAGTGCATGATGACTGACTATATTTCTAGGTCAGCCCTCAGAAGCCTGTTTGATTTCTGTTACTAACCGTAGGTTTTCAGTGGAAAATAAAACTGTCTCCTACGCGTGGTACAGAATTTTGCCCCTAACAGACATTGCTTGAAATAAGAATTGCTAGTGACTGGGAGGAGGTGCCTGTATCTGGTGGAGGAGATAGTAAGAGAAATGACAACAAGTGTTGACGGCATTTCTTGTTTACCATGTGCCAGGCAATGTAACTTTAATTCACACAATCCTAAAAGGTATGTGAAAATAACTCAGCCTTTCTACCATTGTGGGACCATCACAGCTCAACGAAAGCTACCCAATATATGTTTCTCTCAGTTGTCTGTATTTCTCAAAATTCTGCAACTGTGAAAACATTTTAGAGTTAATTGGACATTTTATTCAACTACCACTTTCTTGTCTATAGTTTCTCAGACCCTTTGTACAGCCAGCCAGGGGGAGCTGTACACGGATATGGCGCTGATCAGAGTACAATCTTCAAACAACCTAGAAAATTACTCAAATGCAATCAACTTTAAACTGAACTGAAAACCTAACACTGAAGGATTTTTTTTCAAATTCTGTGTTCTGTCAGCAAAACATGTCAACAATTTTTGAATCTTTTTAATATAATTTATTTGTCTGTATTTAATATGCTCCATTGTTTGTCCTTTGAATAAAGTCAGCTCATCTCCAGGTAATGTCACCTGCAAACTACACAGTGAAGTTAAATTCATATATCCTTCTTCCTCTGGGAAAAGAAATATTTTTTCAATTAAAAAAAAATGGAAATCTTCACCTGAAACCTTCAACTGTTATTTGGTTATAAATTTCTGAGTTATATTAATATCAAACATGTGCCCTTGTGGTTGAAATACAATAGTAATCTGTATGACTTCATAAATGTCACATGATTTGATATGAGCCGTTTTTCTCTGTGTTGATGAGGAATTATAGTGCAGGGTTATTGTAAATGTGTACCAATAAATATGTTTTTAAGTTGCAGCTGAGACACAATATACCTGTGAGAGCTCTCTCTGAAAAGCTAACTCCTGTTTGCTTACAGACATAGATGAGTGCAGTTCCTTTTTTGGTCAGGTGTGCAGAAATGGACGGTGTTTTAATGAAATTGGCTCCTTCAAGTGTTTATGTAATGAAGGCTATGAACTTACTCCAGATGGCAAGAACTGTATAGGTAAATATGTAAACAATAAACAGCTTTTATTTACTTTGTTTTGTTAAATGATGATGTGACCTCTCCCCTACCCCTGCTTAGGGACTCATTCACATTTCATTTGATCATCTGATCACATGACCAAGTAACGATACCATGGGCAATATTCCTTATAAGGAATAAGCCAACAACTGGGAGCAACTCACATGCAGTGTCTTTATTGGGACAGAGCTTGAAGCTGTCCGTGTCTCAGTAAAAATAGACAAAGGAAACAAAGCAAGAAAATTAGCCTCTTGCCAAATGAATAATACCCAAGATGTCAAAAGACTATCTCAGGGCATTATTTGTCCATAGTGACCTGGCAGATCAGAGCGCCCGAGGTGAAGTTAGGTTAGTATCTATCACCTGACAACAATTGACCTCATACTTGAAGCATTTTTTCTCTTTCATTTCTCTTTAAAGATACTAATGAGTGTGTTGCCCTTCCCGGCTCTTGTTCTCCTGGCACCTGTCAGAATTTGGAAGGATCCTTCAGATGTATCTGCCCCCCAGGATATGAAGTCAAAAGCGAGAACTGCATCGGTGAGGCTAACATCTATTCTGAGGTCCATGAACTGTTCAGTGTAATCAGACCTGGTACAGACTCCATGGAAGTCTACCCAATCCACACCACTGCAAGCACACTGACCCAAGGAATTAAACACACAGCCTCCCACATCTGTTTTATTGAACTATCAAAAATGATTGACAGGTGGAGTGGAGGGAATACAGAATTTAGGGATGTGGGACTTTTCATTAACAGAGATCTTATACTACTTAAAGAATTTTCAGTGTATTCTTATCTTTTTCCTAAATGCCAATAGAGACTACTCAATTTAAGGAGTGTCTACAAATATTGTAATCTTTTGCAACCAATTTTAAAACAGCTATCAAAGGTGCCCACAGTTCTCAAAATGTGAAGCAGAAAATCTTGACGATGCTGTTAAGACATTTTTTTCCTTGGGAAAAAATATAAATATTATATTAATATTTTATTATTAATCCGTTTGTCCTAACAGAAAATATTAATCCGTTTGTCCTAACAGATTTTTTTTTTCTTGAAACTCTTCCAGCTTACAAGAACATTGTAACCACATCAAAAGTGGGTCCCATAATTTCTGGGTGGACATGATGAAGGCCGACCTTTTTACAGTTACTTTATTTCACTTTTATACAAATTATTTTTTAGTCTTGTTGAAATTCAGAAACACCAGCTTCTTAGGGTGATTGCTAAGGGTGTTTTTTGCCTTTGAGTTATCCAGTTTTTTAAAAAAAATTCTATGTAGCTCTACTATTTACATTCAAGGGACTTATGTAGACAGAACTGAAGGAAACAGTTTATTTCATCAAATTTAATTTTTTAGATCATATAATTACATACAGTGGGTATTCCTAGTCATTCCAATTTGGTCTTTATATCTTTTCCCTTTTCTTTCTGATTTGTATAGTTCATTGTAATAATGTCTTGTGTTTTTAATACTAAAAAAATAAATAGGTAATACTAGAAGCATCTTAGTAAGAAATTTATTGAAAAATTTAAGATCTTTTCTTTTTCCCATTTTCTTTTTCCATATTTAATCTCATTATCCCTCTGATCCATCCTTTTCTGGAACAATAACAGCAACAGCATGTCATCCATTAGGCAGGAAATGGAAATACATGTTTCTTTGTGTCAAAAAGATTCCACTACCTTTTCTCTTAGTGAAAAACATCTATGATTCAGTTGCATTGTATTAAACTTCAGAAATGTTTTGTTTTCTTTATCCAGTCACTGTTTTGCATCTCTGAAAAATTGGTCTTTAGTTAACTTCACGTAAGAATATTTCCTTCAGACTAGAACCTCTTCTACCAGTTTTTCCCAGATGAAATGCTTCCTAACATGATACACACACACATACACACACGTACATATACAGATGTACACACACACACACACAAATCCATTCCAACATTCAGTGGACATTACAGAGAACACAGCACCTTTTAAGTGCTGGAAATAAAAAATACAGTCCTTGCCTTCAGGTAACTTACTGTCTAACAGAAAAGCCATATTCTGTAAGTAAACCTGTTTTATAAAGCCAGCCTTACAACCCAACATGACGGGCACTGTCCTGGAGGTATGTTCAGGATGTAGGAGCACAGTAGGAGGCTGTGAATAATGATGGTAGTGGTGAGAGGATGGCATATCAAGGAAGCCTGTGACGTGTGAGGCGGCTATTAAATGTTGGATAAGAGTTTACTAATCAAAGAAGGCAATGGAACAAGAGGAGGCCATTTGAAAACCCAGGTGACACAATGTGAGAAGGGGCATGGAACTTAGTCCTGCAGGCAGTGTGGAGCATTGCAGGGTTTTTTACTAAGGATGTGATATGAGTCACTCATGAAAATTCTGCCGATATAAACTGAGACAGTAGCATGTGCCAGACCCTGTGCTAGACTAAGCTGAGAGCACAGCAGTGATCCAGACATACAGACATAGCGTGTCCTCATGGAGCTTACATTCTAATGCACCTGGAATTGAGTAATGTTTATTCCTTTAATTAAAATAACCCATTAGATAAGCACTTCCGATGAAAGAACAATGCTAAACTTCACTGGTAAGGAATCCTTATTTATTTTAAGGGACCATTCTGGGCTGTGATGGGAATGATAAAACGCTCAAAACATGTCTGAGTCCTAGTTTCGTAGGCACATATTTTCAAATAGACGTGTGTTTTTTTGTTTTTGTTTTTTGTTTTTTGGGTGTTTTTTTTTTAAAGATTTTATTGGGGAATGAGGGGAGGGGAACATGTAAGTTGCTGTCCTTTTGTTCTTCAGTCTAGTTGTGGAGGACGTTGCTTCACTGGCCCAAGTTGGTATTATCATTGCGCTCTTCCCGGGTGAGGCAGATTGGTCACCGGCCTCTGGACAGCCGCTCACGGTGACTATTGGCAGCCCACTGCAGCAGGGGCTGGCAGCCTACGCCGTTGCCAGCGACTCATGGCAGCCCAGCTCCAGGTTGAGCTGTTGTTCACCATCTTAGCTGTAGAGGGTGCAGTGTCACTGGCCCTCATGTGGAACCCGAACCAGGGCTCTGCTGCTCAGAGCTGGTGTCCCAAGCCAGCTCTTAACCAATGCGCCACTCGGCTGGCCCTAGACGTGTGTTTTAAAGACACAGCCCTGGTGGCAACAGGAAGAGACGAGAGGGAAGCGCCCCGTCGATTAGAAGATTTATGGTAATCCCATGGCAGATGATGTTGAGTTTGAATGTACAGAGAAGGTAGACTTGACAGATACGCTGCTTGCAGATGCAGATTAAAGGTCAGCTTGAGGAATGAAGGTGACTCCAGGACCCCAACTTGCGTTGCTGCGAAGGGCATGAGGGAAGGAGACCGCTGAGCCCACGATGCCTATAAGACATTGAACTGGTCCTGTTAGATAGGCACTCGGGATCAAGTGCCGGGTGCTGGATGTACATGGACTTGGAAGTCTGGGGCAATGGGTTGGTTGAAACTGGATATAATCTTTGACTTTTGAAGCAATAATCATTTACTTTGAAAGAAGAAGGAAAACATTTGCATAACATGATCTCATGTGTCGCATTAAATATCCAGTGGTTAGTGGATAAGATGATCAAATTGTTTATCTTGAACAGCGTACTGATTTGATTAAACTACCAAATCCTCCTGCTGTTCTGCAGATATAAATGAATGTGATGAAGATCCCAACATCTGTCTTTTTGGTTCCTGCACCAATACTCCCGGGGGCTTCCAGTGCATCTGCCCGCCTGGCTTCGTGTTGTCTGATAATGGACGGCGGTGCTTCGGTAAGCTTTGGGATGACTGCTCTGTCACCATTCTCACTTAGAAACTTCAGAGCTGCACAGTAAACCATCATGCTAGTGTTGATCACTGCAAAGGACATGTCTGTGACAGATGCATCATCTGTAGGTTAAAAACACGGGTCTCAAAAGTGTGTGCACTGGGTTATTGTTAAGGTGCTTTGAATTACTGTCTCTTTCTACATTTTTTTAGTTTGACACTAAAAGTAAAATTCTCATTTTGTTTCACCATTTTCATTTTGTGTTGGCACAGATTTGTTTGTACAGTGGTACGTGAGTTGTTTTTTATGTGATTTAACTTGCTGAAAGAAGTTACCTATATTGTTTTTTTGGTTTTTGTTCTTTCTGTTTTTTTAGGCTGCAATGCAATGTAAGGATGGAGAAAGAGATATGAAAATCATTTTAATATTGAGCATAATTTTTCAAATTTCTCAAGCACATTATAAAAATACTTTAATTGTGTTAAATAACTAAATAACATTTTATAGACAGATCAACTTAAATTGGCAAGTGGCGTCAGCAGTTGAGGATTCCCAACCTGTTTTTTCACTGCTGATGTAATCTGCATCCTATGCTCAGCTCATGAAAGATGTTCTGTGAGAAACAGCTCTGTACAAATTGTTCCATCTTTTAAAATGATCAGTAAGGAGATCTGTGATGTTTGCTTTCTCGATTAGATACTCGCCAGAGCTTCTGCTTCACGAACTTTGAAAATGGAAAGTGTTCTGTACCCAAAGCTTTCAACACGACAAAGGCAAAATGTTGCTGTAGTAAGATGCCAGGAGAGGGCTGGGGGGACCCCTGTGAGCTGTGCCCCAAAGATGACGAAGGTAAGGGCAATGACAGGAAGCTCCACGTTGGGCTAGCTTAGGAACATTTGTCGGAAGTGGGTTTGACTGTGTAATTTATGACTATGTGGAGGGTGAAATTACCCCCACATAGAAACTCGAATGGTTCAGTCAACAACCTAAATTGAGGGACTTCTTTCAACTTTTCAACACGTGTACGCGTAGGTAGGTACCCTGTCATTTCACTTTTGTTTCCCCAAAGTTAGTATTATTTGCTTTCAAAGGAATGAATTTGAGAGGTGCAGGGTAGGCGGTGCAAGGAGAGGATGAAAATGATATTCCAGATTGCTGCGGGAATCCCACGTGAGTGTGACGTCACAAGCTGGTCTCTCAGAATCTTATCTAAAACTCTTGAGAAGCTGAGTTGGCACAGTGGCCATTTGTTGGACGAGACCAAGAGTTTCCAAGCCTTGTTTTCTTAGCACAGCTGAATTGTAGGGTAATTCTTAGCAAGCTCAGAACTGGCTTGGTCTCTAGGTCAGAAGTGGCTTCTGTGTGTAATGGGCACAGAGGGAGAGAGAATGAGCAAACAGGTAGAACCGGAATCCCTGTAGCTGGCACCCCGGAAGGAGCTGGGCAGTGGGCAAGCTCGGGTGACCTTCTCTAAATATGCTCAGTGCTGCTTTTGAAATAAATCATAAAAATAAAATAAAAGACTCTTGTGAAAAACAGCTCTATAGAGGGAAAGTAAGTCCAATTTCATGTATATTGTTCATCTGTTCTGAAGTTCTCTGATATTGAGACTCCTCAGTAATGGGGAATTGGTATTTTTTCTCTGTAGTTGCATTCCAGGATTTGTGTCCTTATGGCCATGGAACTGTTCCGAGTCTTCATGATACCCGTGAAGGTGTGGTTTGATATATTTTACTCCTGTCGTCTTCTTTTGTATGAATATGCTATTGTACCTTTATTTTATAAACCATGGAATTTTACTGTATAATATATATTGTACTTAGTGTACATACTCGATATTTATGATGTATCATGTGCATTGCATTGATCATAAAACTGTGTTGTGGTATGTGAAATACATTATATATTTCTCTGGTAAAAGAAACGTTCATACGTTTTAGAAATTTTAAGTCTCTTGAATAGCTGTACACGGCTTTGGCATATCCTTTTACCTGAGGAAGTTCACGGGCAATTCTATATTTTAGATGTCAACGAATGTCTCGAGAGTCCGGGCATTTGTTCAAATGGTCAGTGTATCAACACAGACGGGTCCTTCCGTTGCGAATGCCCCATGGGTTACAACCTGGATTACACGGGAGTACGCTGTGTGGGTGAGTGTTGCCGCCACATCATACACTTTTAAGGTTCTATGTTATTTCTCATATTCAGCAAAAGGTCTCTCAGGCGCCCTGGGTGGTGGCAGGCTCTGCAAAGCCAGGGTAAGTAGCTAGCAGCTGCTCTTGCCCCTCCCATCCTACGTTTTCCAGTCGGCCCGATTTATGTGAAGATGGATAGAGTTGCCCAACCTCTGCCCTCAACCAAGTATACAGACTCTAATGGGTCTAGAGATTTGCAGTTGCCAAACCACTAACTGGCACAGACACCCATTTTACTTTATGACTTTCCATGCCTGCTCGGGTAGCAGAAGACTACATTCCCCTGTGGGTTTGGGATTTTTAGGGCAAGCACGGCTGTCTGGGGGCTCAAAGCATTGCACGCTTGATCTTTTGGGACCCTCTGCACTGCATGAGAACCAGACAGCCAAGACCAAGGAGGGTGCAAGAGTCCTGAGTGCCTTGCAGTGACCTGGAAATGCGTGGTGCCTGGTGGATCTTCATGCGCATGCTCCCATTAAATTAAAACGCCTCCAAACTTTGTAGCACTTTCTCATTCTTCTTTTTCAGACACTGATGAATGTTCCATTGGCAATCCATGTGGAAATGGTACATGCACCAATGTTATTGGGAGTTTTGAGTGCAACTGCAATGAAGGCTTTGAGCCAGGACCCATGATGAATTGTGAAGGCATGTGATACTTTTCTTACCATTTCTTCGTGATACAGAATGGGTTATTTTAATGCCTCAGCTTTTTTTTTTTTTTTTTTTTAAGCTGAGCCATCCTGCTACCTGTTGGCAGCTCAGTGGCTGCTCAGCTCGGGCTGGACTCGAACCGCTGTNAGCTCAGTGGCTGCTCAGCTCGGGCTGGACTCGAACCGCTGTTGCTCAGAGCTCAAACTCTTGAGCGAGCTCTTAACCAACTGAGCCACTCAGCCAGCCCAAATGCCTCAGCTTTTATTTATATTGTTCTGATAACCTATTAATGATTATAATCATTACAAATGTATTTCCCTTTACTTCACTGAGCATAGTCCCGATACCTGGTTTAAAGCCCTTGTCTGATAACTCCAGCATCTTGGTCATCTCAGACTTGGCACCCATTGATGGTCTCCTGCCTTGAGATTGAGTCCCATTTTCCTGGCTCCGCATTATGTTGGTTAATTTTGGATTATACCCTGGATATTATGAATGATACCTTCTGGAATAAGTTATATTACTTTTAAGAATGTTGATGCTTTTGTCTTAGTGGGCAATTAACTTGGAGGAACATAAATCAGATTGTCAGGCCTGTGGTTCAGGTTTCAGCTCTGCTGTGGTTCAGGTTTCAGCTCTGCTCTTTAAACCTTAGTGGCTACCTTCTTTGATTTTCCCCACACATGCATGGTTCAGTCAGTCACTTGGGCCAACTTTATGCATAAAATAATAGTGTTTTTCCACCTCTGGCCCTTCTCCTTTCTGGGGTTGCCCCTCACTCTTCAGCAGGCTGGGTGGCCCCAAGTCTTCCTCCACTGATTCCTCTAGACAGAAGCTGAGAAAGTTTCTAGTGAAGAGTTAGCTGCCAGGTGCTGCCACTGCCAGGACTGTGGCCATCCGCAGGGTAATTTCAGGAAAAAAAAAAAATTGGGAATTTATTCCTTGCCGTTCGTTTGCTGAGTTTCGACTCACCACTAAAAACGAGTTCACTTAGTTGTTTTCAGAGTTTATAGTTGTTATTTGTTGAAGGATGGGTTTGTTAGGTACCCAGTTCTCCATACTATAAGTGGAAGTTCTATTATCCTGTTGCTTTCTGTGTAAATACATCAGTGTTTATTACACAAATAATCAGAACCCTGGGCTGAGCACATGGCTATCTGTTTCTTTGATCAGATATCAATGAGTGTGCCCAGAACCCACTGCTGTGCGCTTTCCGCTGCATGAACACGTTCGGGTCCTATGAATGCACGTGCCCGATTGGCTACGCCCTCAGGGAAGACCAGAAGATGTGCAAAGGTAAGGCCACAGGCAAGGGCTTAGTTAGAACTGAATTTGCCATGCTGGGAGTACGGTATATTTTAATGATTTTTATCGAGCCTTACAGAAAGGTTTATGATAGCATTTCCCTGGTACATTTCCATACCTAGCTAAGAAGACACTTGGTGGTCTGTCCAGTCAAGTCGAAGATAAGGTGGGACGAGGAGCCTACCCACTGTCATACTCGTGGGTTCTTATAAAAGCAGAAAGTGCCCTTTCCTGAACTTCCTGCTATTAGGGACCAATGCTGAAATTTACAAGCGTAGAATAGGCCAACAGCTGAAAAACAAGAGGCTCCTCCTTTTTCTGTCACAGAATACGATTACATTTTAAGAGCCAAAATTACATTTTAAGAAAACCAAAAATATGACAGCAAAGTCCTAAACAATAGCCTGCTCCTGAGAATCTTATATATGTTTTTTCTTTGAAAAATACTTTACAGACCTGGATGAATGTGCTGAAGGGCTGCATGACTGTGAATCCAGAGGCATGATGTGTAAGAACCTGATCGGCACCTTTATGTGCATCTGCCCACCGGGGATGACCCGAAGGCCGGACGGAGAAGGCTGCGTAGGTAAGGCTCTCAGTGACGATGTCGCATATTTAATACCCTCACTCTAGACTTATGGCACTGCTCCAAAATCATGCTACTTGCAAGCCAGCTGTTCTTCCAGCTGTTCAAGGCTGTGCTGTACCGAGACCTCTTCCATCTCAGGGTCCATGGCAATATAATCAGTCTGGGTAATGCAGTGGCAGGTATGCCTGTCCTAGAATATATGCCCCCTTGTTTTTCATATTCTGTGTCCTGTAAATCTAAAACACTAAATTTACAAGTGTAGAAAAACTCCCTTGAAACAGTTACGTTCATGTAGCAAAATAAAAGTATGAGTTAATGTTTTTATTGTTTTTATCATTCCGTGAATGAGGAGAGTAAAGAGGCAGATACTCTCGAGAAACATCTTACAGGCTGGCTATCTCTGTGACCTTGACCAGATTTTTTTAACATATTTGAACCTCAGTTGATTCACCTATAAGGGGAGGAGGTCGGGCTCAATCTCTAAGATGACTTCAAGAGTTTTAAATGCTGTGATTTTATGTACAAGTCAAAGTCTCATGCCATGAGAGCTGGTCATGGCCTCTGTATCCATTATCTCAGCACTTCTTCAAAAGTGTTGTCACCTAGGACGCTGGAGCCCCATACACAATCTTCCTCATCCTTGAGAAGAGGTGGCGCCCTCTCCTTGTGAGGAGTGAAAAGGATAACTATTGCATTGTTCTGTATACCTGAAACTAATAATAAAAAATAATAAAAAAAGATGGAAAAAAAAAAAGAAAGAAACTACTCCTTCCTCCTAACCTCCAGAACCTAGAAAAATGTGGGTATTTTTGGAGGAACATTTGAAGATTACTAATAATTCCTTATTTGGGGGAAAAAAGCAACCCAAATAATATTTATTAAAGATGAATCTATTAGTGATTGCCTGATGCTAGGAGTCAGAATAGAGAGAGCGGTTGGAAATGGACACTAGGGATCCCTTTGGGAGATGGAAGCATTCTAACACTGGATCTCAGTGACTGCACAAAACCGTTAATTCACTAAAAAGCGTGGCATTGCACACTTAAAACATGCAAGTTATATAGCATCTAAATTATACCTCAATAAAGCTGTTTAAAAAATAAATCTATCACAGGAAAAGAAATATAAGGATGTTCATTACAATTTTACATGTATTAACAGCAACAAAAAAGAATAGGAAACAACCCAAGTGCCATCATAGGAGGATAGCTAAATAAATATGGCATATTCATGCTATGAAATGTCATACAGCAGTTAAAAGGAGTAAGATATATGTATGTGTGTACTGAAGTAAAAAGAACTATAAATACATAGTTACAGAACAAGATATACAATGTGTCATTTTAAAGAAAATTATAAATAATACTGTGCTTTCTGTAGGGACATATGAAAGCAAGTAAATACGTATGAAACTATTTGTTTTAAATAAACCCCAATTCATAGAAGGAATTACCTCCAGGGAAGATTTTGAGATTAGAGGTTACTGGTCTGAAGTGAATTTAACTATATCTGTCCATTTTAATTTTTTACGAAAGAGTAAGTTCCTAAATTACATGTGTAACATAAAATTCATTTTTAAATGTATGCAGCAACCCACCAGGCTATGATTGGATTTCATAGTTTCTTTTACTCTATTAGATATTTCATTCAAATATACTACTTACTAAAGTTAAAAATAGATTACATCAGAGGTTCAGTCATGCAGTGCTTTTTTCAAAAACACTTTTCTTCCAAGACCTGAAAACCCAGAGATTAAGCTAGACTCTTAAGTCTAGGAGCAGAGAAGTTTACAGAATAATGTGTATCCCTCAAAATCTTGCACAGGGCAAAAATGCTAACATGTACAAAGGATAGAAGTCACATGTATGGAAGACATTGTTTACCATCCTGGTTTCTTAGTGTACATGAGATTTATTTTCATCTATTTTTCTCTTATTTATTTGAGCATGTATGTGTGTTTGAATTTCATCCAGCTAAAATACTTAGAAATGTGTTTTACTTTTTATTCATGGAAATTTCTTATTTTTTAACTAGCTGAATTTTACATTATATTGTTACTACATTTGTATGTGTGTTTCCTAGGAAGAGGGGGTAAGCATTGTTATCAGGGTAAGAATGCTAGTTTCTTCTGGTCCTGTATCTGTCATAAATGAGCTGAGTGACTTGAAAGTGACTTAATTCTCTGTGCCTCAGCTTCCTCGTCTATACAGTAAGAAACTGTATGATCTGGGTGGGAGAAGAAGAACGTCTCCTCTAGCTCTAATATCCTATGGTACCATGAACTTACTTTTTCCGAAAAATGAAAGACCCAGGGCAACATTATACATTTGTAGGTTTTTCATTGTTAAAAGATGCTATGAAAGATACAGGTTCTAAAACTTTGCTGATCCTTAAGCTTTTCATGATATCATGCTGATAACTTAAACGTCTATAAAACTGTTTTTGATCATCAAAAAACGCATTGTAGAGAAGTTTTATTTTATTCAGACATGTTTTTACAATTAGAAACTTCATAATAAACAGCCAAAATATTAAAAAAGTGTTTACAAATGTCAGAATGAAAGATAAAGCCACACACAAAAAAAGAAAAAGATAAAAGAATGCTGAGTACAATGAAATTGGAATTCAACAAAATTACCCCAAAGTAATATCAATTGAAAAATTAACTAAAAATATTACCAGGTAAAGAATTTATGTTGAATAACTATGGTGTACCCCTGAAACTAATATAATATTGTATGTTATATTTTTGATAAAAAGTCTTTAAAATTTAAACCATGCTGATTCCTATTTCAGCTATGTCAGTTTCTCACATTTGAGTGAGAAATTTACACATAGTAATACCTTAGACATAGAAGTAACCTTGATCATTCTTTTGATATGTCACTGTTTCTTTTTAGAACACTCCAAATGAGTGCTCCACATTTTGTGTGCAAATCAAAAGCAAAGAGAAAAGTAAAACACATTCGAATCTATTGTAAATATAATGGTATAATTGTGTTTGTATTTGTGTATGTGTGTTTGCATGTGTTTATTTTGTCCAAACAGTGTATCTTTTTTATCATACAATGGTTGCAAATATTAAAAATAGACAATTGCATTCATTGTGAGAAATTTGATATATGGGGAGAAGTGAAATCTTATTTAAAGACTTGCTCTGAGTGAGATGAAAAATAAAGTTGATCTTAAAGTATCACCTGTGAATCTTATAAATGTAATATAAATCTTAAAAACACAATCTTTGTGTTTCTTTTATACACATATATACATATATTATTTTTCAAATTGTGAGATCCATCTCACTAATGTCCACATATCTAATATTTCTTATGGACTACCCCGAATGAAATTTAACAAAAAGGAAGTAAAATTTTGTTTCTCCTGTTCCCTGTTGTGAACATCAGAAGTGTCTGGAAAGTGAGAGGCACTTAATAAGTAATTGTGATATAAAAGAATGAATTTAACCAAGATTCTATATTTGGAAATCTGTTTAATTTTGTAATATTAAATACCCATATGTGATGACTACATTTAAAAAAAAATTAAAGTTATGCAGAAAATCTAAAACCTCTGTAAAGAAAACTAAACGTAGAGACAGAAATTTGATTATGTAATATATTATACCCCAATAATTATTTTTTAAAATAAAAAATAAATGAATAGGAAAATCTAATAAATAGAAAAATTTTACCAAGATTATTAAATTTTAATGTAAATGCCAACAGAATACTTTTGGGGCGTCATTAACATTATTTACACGTAATTGAGGGGGGCCAGCCGACCGGCGTGTTGGTTAAGAGTTGTCTTGGGATGCCAGCTCTGAGGAGCAGGGCCTCGGTTCAGATCCCACATTAGGGCCAGTGATGCTGCGCTCTCTACAGCTAAGATGGTGAACAACAGCTCGACCTGGAGCTGGGCTGCCACGAGTCGCCGGCGTCGGCTTAGGCTCAGAGGGGCTGGCCGGCAGCTAGCGTGTCCCTGCGTGAGCTGCCATGAGCCGCAGTGAGTGGCCGTCCAATGGCCAGTGAGTGACTGCCTCACCCAGGAAGAGCGCAACGATAATACCAACATGGGCCAGTGAAGCAACATCCTCCACAACTAGACTGAAGAACAAAAGGACAGCAACTTGTCTGTTCCCCTTCCCCGATTCCACAACGCTGTTCCCCTCCCCCAATTCCCCAATAAAATCTTTTTATAAAAAAATGTAATTGAGGGGAAGAAAGGCTTTGTTTTAAATATGATGGCATAAAAATGTTACTTTACTCCCATCCCCTGAAAGTTTTAGAAATATGGCAGGAAAGGGAGAGTACTGTTTCAATTTAAGTGAAGAAGTGGTCACAACTACAGACTGAAAAATATCCTCAAAATAATATAAAATTTCAAACAAAAACACAGGTGTTCAGTGGCATATTTTTTTTTTTTTAGGCTTTGGCAGAATACGGACAGATATCTCTAAAAGTAACTGCCCCCAGGGCCGGCCGAGTGGCTCAGTTGGTTAAGAGCTCGCTCAAGAGTTTGAGCTCTGAGCAACAGTAGTTCGAGTCCCAGCCCGAGCTGAGCAGCCGCTGAGCTGCCAACAGGTGCAGGATGGCTCAGCTAAAAAAAAAAAGTAACTGCCCCCATTTAAAGAGTTCATCCAACACTCTTTGATTAAAAGATAAGGGACTTGGGTGAATGAGAGAAGTATGTGATATTTTTGTAGAAGCCCCAGTTCCATACTGCAATGTCAAGAGGTATAGAAGTGAAAGAAATCACAGTGACGTGTTAAAACTTAAAGAACTTTACTTAGAGTCACACTGACCTCCTAAGTTACCTGAAAGTTTGAGTATAAATGCTCCAAGGGCAGAGAGCATACAGCTTTGGTGAGCAACTGTTCATAGAACAAACTTAACATGAAACTGGTGATCTTCTGCCACACTGTTTTTCACCAAACAGCTGAACTGGAGAAAATTGTTCAAAGCTGAATAATTACACAAGACCACAACAAATGTATATAT